GGAGGCGGACTATTGCATTGTAGATAGATACAAAAACTTTGGCGTTTCTACATGTAAGAGCAGCATACAACCTGAAGAGCTCACCACGGGCCTTATTGGCTGCCTTCAGGCATTCTGTTTTGGGCTTGAAACTCTTTGTGAGAATGATTACTAAATCCTTAACTCCCTCTGTGCGCAGCAGTGCCAGCTGCCCGTCCCGAACAGTATCGGCTGTTGCTGTTAAGAGATTTAGTGGTAAGTCCCACTAGATCGACCATTGTCTAACCGCTTCTACATCGTACTCTAGATTTGTTCCAGCTACTTTCACATCGTCCGCGAACATGAAACAGGGATTTTGGAGATCCGGTGTTAAGCCATTGATGTGAATTAGAAATACTAGTGGTCCTAGAACTGATCTTTTAGCACCCTGCTTGTTACTCTTGAAGGTTCGCTCAGATGGTAACCAACCTTCACACAGAACGTGCAATGACTGAGGAACTGTATGACCAAATCCTGAATCTTGTAGCTTGCGGTCTAGGAGCTGATCGCTAACTGAATCGAAGGCTTTGCAGAAGATTTCGTCTTGGATCATTTTGGACGTGAATATATTTATTGGGATACGTGAACGGTGCGTTCTTTCATAGCTCTCCTAGGGTTCCTACATTTAACATTTTGGTTGAACGTCAAAATCCTTGTTTCTGAGTCACGTGACATTGGATAGTAGTAGTAGATTCCGCTATTTGTGAATTCACGTGAACTAGTTTGCAGATCAACAGCACCAAGACACTAATGCACTTTCTTGTTTTTGATTACCATAGATTGATCGCATCACACCTGCCTCAATCCATGGACACCACTGCCCGGTTGTCTTGGCCGAAAACTACTCTGTGTCAATGGAATGAGGATACCGCCCCGGTCGGTCAAGGTTTGAATCTTAAAGAATCCATTATTCGACCATTTTCCGGACCGCCCATTCCGCCATACACGTTATTTCCTTTCCCCCATATGAGAAGTCACCTGTCCAGTATAACTCCACCCACAGAGACAAACAACACTCTTCCCACTCATCCCGCTGGTCGTGACCGGAATTACATCCCTACGGATGTCAGCTTTAATTCCATTTCTGCTATCAAGCCGCATACTCAGTTGGCGGCAGACGAGATGGATGGTCGGGCACTCGGAGGTTCCCTGTTACCTACATCTGATCCTTATTCGAAATCACACAGCCCTAATTCAGGATCTCATCCGTTTGGAGACGTGGATTTGTCCAAA